AAAGTCAGGAGAAGAGGTGACTTTTGGTGCACACGCCGGGGTCTTCAGGCACGCCTCCGGACCCAAAGCGGGCCAGGCAAGGGAGCAAGTGCGGCAAGTGTAGTTACTGGGATGTATAGCTCACCTACAATCAAAGAGCATTCTGAACTCCACCAATGATGGAATTGAACCAAATATGGCACACAGAACTCCCACGACGAACAGAAAATATATATCAATGATTGGTTGGGGGGGGGGCACCAAAATACTGTTTGCTTACCTTTGAAAATTACCTAGGGCCGCCTCTGCCATTCAGTCGCTGCTTAACAACAACAACAACAACAACAGAATCATAGAAATCTAGACCTTGAAAGGACCCCAGAGGCCATCCAGTCCTGGTGGTGCAGTGAGTCAAACTCCTGTGCCGGCAGGACTGAAGACCGATAGGTCACAGGTTCGAATCCAGGGATTCTTTGTCAGCTCCAGCTCCCCATGTGATGACATGAGAGAAGCCTCCCACAAGGATGGTAACACATCAAAACATCTGAGCATCGTCCCCTGGGCAACGTCCTTGCAGACGGCCAATTTTTTCACACCAGAAGTAACTTGCAGTTTCTCAAGTCACTCCTGACACGACAAAAAAAAAAACAACTTTACCTAATTTAGCCCAAAAAGTAAGTATTAAATTCAAGTATATACAGTACTGAAAGCTTCATTCTCACTAAGACGAAGGTGCAACGTAAGAATGAAAAAGTATGCGGTGAGAGGACTATATTTACCTTCCAGTCCGGCGGCAACTGGGCTCCAAAACCCAAGGCAGGAAACATCTTGTCTCTACAAAACAAAAGAGCAAAAATTACGAGAAAGGCAGAACATGAACTGAACCTAAGTCTGGACATCTTAAAAATAATTCCTCTCCAAGAAAAGCTTAGGAGCATGTTCAGTTCTGTGCCAGATCATGGTCAACATCATATTTATTTATTTACACCATTTCTACCTCGCCCTTCTCACTGCTGGTTGGCCAGCCGGCCTAATGGCTGCAAGCAGCAGTTCGCTTTCCGCGGACTCACTGTTTCACAGTTAGGCTTGAGAATTAGTATTTTTAATTTTCCCATCATGGTCAACTGTGAATCGCACATATGGTATTTCCTGCACCTGCGCAGACAGTTCGGAATCTTCTAGAAAACTTATTAGACACTTTTAGGCGGTAGCCACGCCCACTCTCCCCATAGAGTATATAGCCAGTGGGCGGGGCTACTGCCTCAGTTCCTTTCATCCGCCGCCATTGCAGCAGTTAAGGATTCTTTCTCTCATTTTTTATTAGCGTTGTGCTTTTAAAACCACAAAATATATTAAAATATATTAAAAATATTAATTCTCAACCCTAACCACGAAACAGCGAGTCTGCGGACTCAGGGCAGCTAACACAGGCAGCAATTCGATGCCACAATATCAGTAACACAATATAAAATCATCATACATCGCAAAGTTAAAAACGGTAACATTAATTAAAATCACATAATCACAAAGTCACGTAGCCATTTCCAATTGTCGTAACAGTCCTATGGTCCGAATTCAGCGTCTAAAGTACTGCTGCGCCCACTAGCCAAAGGCCTGGGTCCACAACCACGATTTTAGTTTTTTCCTAAAAGAAAGGAGGGAGGACGGCGATCTGATCTCGCTGGGGAGTGAATTCCATAAGAGGGAGGCCACCGCTGAGAAGGCCCTGTCCCTCGTCCCCACCAGACGCGTTTGCTCAGCTGGTGGGACCGAGAGCAGGGCCTCCCCAGTAGATCTTAAATTACGAGGCAGAACGTAGAGGGAGATATGTTCGGACAAGTAAGCGGAATTCTATAAGTGAGGGGCCACCACTGAGAAGGCCCTGTCCCTCATCCCCACCAGACGTGTTTGCATAGCTGGTGGGACCGAGAGCAGGGCCTCCTCGGTAGATCTTAAATTATGAGGCGGAATGTAGAGGGAGATACGTTCGGACAAGTAAACTGGGCCGAAGGCGTATAGGGTTTTATACACCAAGACCAGTACTTTGAATTGTGCTCAGAGGTGGACCGGCAGCCAGTGGAGCTGACAAAACAGGGAGGTGGTGTGCTCCCTGTATGGCGCTCCGGTGAGTAATCTGGCTGCTGCCCATTGGACTAGTTGGGAGTCTCCCAACAGTCTTCAAAGGCAACCCCACGTAGAGTGCATTGCAGTAATCTATTTGGGATGTAACCAGAGCATGGACTAGCGTGGCCAAGTCAGACTTCCCATATAGATGCCCTTCACGTGTAAATAATAATAATAATAATAATAATAATAATAATAATAATAATAATAATACTTTATTAATATTCCGCCCTTCTCACCCCAAAGGGGACTCAGGGCAGATCACAGCACATATACATGGCAAATATTCAATGCCGCTTCGTATAGACAATACACAGACAGAACAGAAGGAGGTGGTTTGTTTCAGCTGTTTTTGGTGCCATGGAAGGTTGGGCTCGAGTCCAAGGGGTGCTGTTGCTCTATCCTGATTGACGAAGAGCCGTCAGGGCTTCCTCCTTCCTTTTGGTCACCCAGCATTTTCTGATCTCCTTTCTTTATGGCGTCATAAAACACCTCCCTCCACTTTTAGCGGTACCCAATTTCTCTAATCACAGCTAAAGCCAGGGGTCCTCAAACTAAGGCCCAAGGGCTGGATGCGGCCCTCCAAGGTCGTTTACCCGACCCTCGCTCAGGGTCAGCCTAAATCTGAAATGACTTGAAAGCACACAACAAAAACAATAATCCTATCTCATCAGCCAAAAGCAGGCACACACTTCCCACTGAAATACTAATAAGTTTATATTTGTTAAAATTGTTATTCATTTTAATTATTGTATTGTTTTAAAGTGTGTTTGCACTACAAATAAGGTATGTGCAGTGTGCATAGGAGTTCATTCATGTTTTTTTCCAAATTATAATCCGGCCCTCCAACAGTTTGAGGGACTGTGACCTGGCCCTCTGTTTAAAACGTTTGTGGACCCCTGGCTAAAGCTGTTTTCGAATTGCTTAGGTAAACAATGAGCTAGGCTGACAGTTGGCAGCTCACGCCAACCTGAGGCTTCGAACTTGAAACCTTTTGGTTGATAGAAAGGGACTCTGGGGACTCAAGGCAGAGCACAGCATATACACGGCAAACATTCAATGCCGGGACACAAATTCACATACAATACATAAACATTTAAAAACATTTATCAAAATATTAAAATACACCATTTAAAACCGTTTGTGCCGCACTCTGTGCTGGTCATGGACCGTAATAGAGTCTTCTTGTTGTTTTGACAAATTGCAAATGCTAAAGGCACAGAAAGGATGGAAATGCTGTCATCCGCGTCAAATCTAATTGGCCTGATAATCTTTCCTATTGACGCTTTATTGCCCTATCCCGAAAGCTTGGTCCCACAGCCAAGTGTTTATCATCCTTCTGAAGGACAGGAAGGAGGGGGCCGACCTGATCTCACCAGGAAGGGAGTTCCATAGCCGGGGAGCAATCACCGAGAAGGCCCTGTCTCTCATCCTTGTGACAATGCTGGATGGAAACAGGACCTCCCCGGAGGATCTTAATCTCCACAATGGTTCATAGGGGGAGATGTGTTCGGACAGGTAATTTGGGCCGGGGCTGTTTAGGGCTTTATAGGCCAAAGGCAGCACATTGAATTGTGACCGGTAGCAAACTGGCAGCCAATGGAGCTGGCGTAACATGGGAGTTGTATGCTCCCTGTATGCCACCCCAGTTATTAACATGGCTGCCTCTCGTTGGACTATTTGGAGCTTCTGAGCGTAGAGTGCGTTGCAGTAGTCTATCCTAGATGCAACGAGAGCGTGGACCACCGTGGCCAAGTCTGACTTCCCAAGGTACGGGCGCAGCTGGCGCACAAGTTTTAATTGTGCAAACGCTCCCCTGGCCACCGCTGCAACCTGGGATTCCAGGCTCATTAGGCAATGCTGCATTTGGTGGTTCCTATGCAGACTTGTCCACAACTGCATGTTATACAGTAGACTCCTTACGAAGTGAGAGGATCTAACTGTTTCTAATATTTTTTCATAACTGCGACCCTAGGGAACTGTGTTTCCCTTTCCCAGGGCGTTTGTGCCCCACTCTGTGCTGGCCATGGACCGTAATAGAGTCTTCTTCTTGTTTTGACAAATGGCAAATGCTAAAGGCACAGAAAGGATGGAAATGCTGCTCCAGGTTCAACCGGAGTGGGACGTGAGCACCAACCCCCAGAGTCAGACACAACTGGACGTAATGTAAAGGGAAACCTTTACCCTTTACCAGGAGCCCCCAGTGTGCCGGCAGGACTGAAGACTGACAGGTCGCAGGTTCGAATCCGGGGAGAGCACAGATGAGCTCCCTCTGTCAGCTCCAGCTCCCCATGCGGGGACATGAGAGAAGCCTCCCACAAGGATGGTAACGCATCAAAACATCTCCTGGGCAATGTCCTTGCAGACGGCCAATTCTCTCACACCAGAAGCGACTTGATTTTGCCATTTGATATAAGGGACACCCTTGGAAGAATGACTTACGTGTCGTAGTCTTGGATGATCTGCCCGACGGCCCAAATGGCCGAAAGGTACTCGTTGCTTCCCATGGGGTTGATATAGTGCAAAGAGGTGGGGTCCCGAGGGTTCCCGTTGGATGCTGTGAAGTCAATCCCGACCTGCAAGAAAATACAACATTATTGATAATAATAATAATAATAATAATAATAATAATAATAATAATAATAATAATTTATTTATTTATACCCCGCCATCATCTCCCCATGGGACTCGGAGCGGCTTACAAGAAGCCAAGCCCAACAACACATCAATAAAACAAGAAAGCATTAAACAAAAACAATATTATATAAATCACACATAAACATTAACACAACAAGGATTAAAAAACCTATGGCCAGGCCAAATGTAATAGTTTAAAATTAAAAATTAAATGTTGATACTGCCACACTCAAGCACCATGCGTACTTCAATGTTTATTATTATTATTATTATTATTATTATTATTATTATTATTGTATGTCCCTATCAAATTTGGACAGTTGGATGATAGGTTCTTTGCTGATGATATCTGCACAGAAGTATTTCACGGTGTCCCATATTAATTATGGGTGTGTGCATGCATGCATGTGTGAGTACTTATATTAATTGCCACAAGCACACAAATGCCTCAGGTCCACTCCACTTGTATCTATATATAGCCTGGCTAATATTTATTTATTCATTTATTTTTAATTATTATTATTAAACTTTATTTGTACCCCGCTAGCATCTCCCGAAGGACTCGATGCGGCTTACAAAGGCCGAGGCTTCAAAATATAGTGCTTCTGGGCCATAGTGCTGGGAGTCATCCTACTCTGGGAAGGTACATCGGAACAGCCAGGTCTTCAAGTTCTTCCTAAAGACTGCCAACGTAAGTGCTAGTCAAATGTCTTTGGGGAGGGTGTTCCAAAGTCGGGGGGCGACCACAGAGAAGGCCCTGCCCCTCGTCCCCACCAAACGCGCCTGTGACGCAGGTGGGATCGTGAGCAGAGCCTCTCCGGATGAACGAAGGGAGCGCGTGGGTTCGTAAACGGAGATGCGGTCACGCAGGTAGGCAGGTCCCAAACTGTTTAGGGCTTTGTAGGTAAGCACCTGCACCTTGAATTGGGTTCGGTAGGTAAATGGCAGCCAGTGGAGCTCCTTGAACAGAAGGGTTGACCTCTCTCTGTACGGAGCACCAGTTAACATCCTGGCTGCTGCCCGTTGGACCAGTTGAAATTTCCGAGCCGTTTTCAAGGGCAGCCCCACGTAGAGTGCATTACAGTAGTCCAATCTAGAGGTGACCAAGGCATGGACCACCCCGGCCAGATCAGTCTTTGTGAGGTACGGTCGCAGTTGGCGCACGAGTCTCAATTGTGCAAAAGCCCTCCCGGACACCGCTGACGCCTGAGCCTCAAGCGTAAGCGAAAAATCCAGGAGGACTCCCAAGCTGCGGACCTGTGGCTTCAGGGGGAGTGTAACCCCGTCCAGCACAGGTTGCCATCCTATACCCAATCCAGTTTGCAATTGACCAGGAGGACCTCTGTCTTGTCGGGATTGATCTTCAGCTTGTTCTTCCTCATCCAGATAGACACAGCGGCCAGGCACTTGTCCAGCACTCGAGGGGCCTCCATGGAATTAGGTGGAAAAGAGTAGTAGAGTTGTGTGTCATCTGCATAGAGATGGCACCTAGCTCCAAAACTCCGGATGACCTTTCCCAGCGGTTTCATGTAGATGTTAAAAAGCATGGGAGACAGAATAGAGCCTTGCGGGACCCCACAGGTCTAAGGCCAGGGGTCCGAGCAGGCATCTCCCAGCTTCACCATCTGGGATCGACCCTCCAGGAAGGAACGGAGCCACGACAAAACCGTGCCCTTGAGACCCATCCCAGAGAGTCGTCCCAGAAGGATACCATGATCGATGGTATCGAAAGCCGCTGAGATGTCCAAGAGAACCAACAGAGTCACACTTCCCCCATCCAGCTCTCTGCGGAGGTCATCCACCAAGGCGACCAAGGCCGTCTCGGTGCCGTGGCCAGGCCTGAAACCAGACTGTGACTGATCTAGGTAGTTGTTGTCATCTAGAAAACCCTGGAGCTGGGAGGCGACCACCCGCTCCAGCACCTTGCCCAAAAAAGGGAGGTTGGAGATTGGTCTGAAGTTGTTTAAAGCTTTTATAACCCGGTCTTCTCGGCCTCTGAAGAGGGACTCAGGCCAGTTCACAACATAAGCTTCATAGACAATAGTATAAAAACATCACAACCTCATAATACACTAATCCATAAAATACATTAAAATACAATCATAGAATCATAGAATCAATCATATAATTACATAAGGCCAAGTCGTCAGAGTGAAATCACAATTCATCACCATCCGTCAGCGTGGTCAATAGTTATTGACTCAATCATCAAATGCCATATTCCAAAGCCAAGATTTCACCAGCTTTCTAAAAGTCAGGAGAGAAGGGGCAGATCTAATCTCTATCGGGAGAGAGTTCCAGAGCCGAGGGGCCACCACCGAGAAGGCCCTGTCCCTCGTCCCCACCAGACGCAATTGCGAGGGTGGTGGGACCGAGATCAGGGTCACTCCAGAAGACCTTAACAACCTTGATGGTTCATAGGGGAGAATCCGTTCGGACAGGTAAACTGGGCTGGAGTCGTTTAGGGATTTACAGGTCAACACCAGCACTTTGAATTTCATGGAACTGAAACAGTTTTGGTTGCCTTAGTAGATGATCTTTGCCGGGAGCTCGACAGGGGGAGTGTGTCCCTGTTGGTGCTGATGGACCTCTCAGCGGCCTTCGATACCGTTGACCACGGTATCCTTTTGGGACGCCTCACGGGAATGGGCCTTGGAGGGACTGTTTTGCAGTGGCTCCAGTCCTTCCTAGAGGGTCGTTCTCAGAAGGTGTTATTGGGAGACACCCGTTCTGCCCCACAACCTTTGTCTTGTGGGGTTCCTCAGGGTTCAATACTGTCTCCCATGTTGTTTAACATCTACATGAAGCCGCTGGGAGAGATCATCCGGAGTTTCAGGGTACGATGTCATCTGTACGCGGATGATGTCCAACTCTGACACTCCTTTCCACCTACTTCTAAGGAGGCTGTTGAGGTCCTGAACCGGTGCTTGGCCGCTGTAACGGTCTGGATGAGGGCGAACAAATTGAAATTGAATCCAGGCAAGACAGAGGTCCTCCTGGTCAGTCGTAAGGCCGAACAGGGCATAGGGTTACAGCCTGTGTTGGATGGGGTCGCACTCCCCCTGAAGGCGCAGGTTCGCAGTCTGGGTGTGATCTTGGACTCATCGCTGAGGCTGGAACGCCAGGTTTCGGCGGTGACCAGGGGAGCATTCGCACAGCTAAAACTTGTGCGCCAGCTGCGCCCGTACCTTGGGAAGTCTGACTTGGCTACGGTAGTCCACGCTCTGGTTACATCCCGTTTAGACTACTGCAATGCTCTCTACGTGGGGCTGCCTCTGAAGACTGCTCGGAAGTTTCAAATGGTCCAACGATCGGCAGCCAGGCTGTTAACAGGAGCGGCACTCAGGGAGCACACAACTCCTCTGTTGCGCCAGCTCCACTGGCTG